CACACAATTGTTGGCGGATCCAAAGACACAACTTCAAGAAATGGCCAATGCAAAAGAAAACAAACAAGGCAGTTATTCTCCCTACGTTTTTGTGATTCGCATGATTCGCGCAATCGTCAGCGTCAACATTTGATAGATGAGTGGTCAAGTTTTACTGTGAGCTGCTGCAGAGCAAACTTTAAAGACCCTGATTTCATGCTCTAATGAACTTTTCCATTCTCTGTGGAAGAACAAAGAAAAAACTAAAAACTCAACCGTAACTGAACACAAGGCTCGATCCTGGGTGATATCAATTTTACCGTCCCTTCTATATTCCTATACAGCCAGACGCATGCTTTATCTTCTTGCCGCAATAATGTCCCAGACCACGCCCACCAGCTGCAGCGGACGACTCTGTTGCTAGACACCCGTATAGAAGTGCCTGCGCAATGTGCAAAGCCAGTAAAATTTCAGATATTTTCTAAGTACACAATTTTTTTTCATTGACTTTCTGGGGTCCCTTGGAAAGCTCAGAATTAATCTTACCTAGCTAGATGTTTATGCTACTATAAGTGCTATCACGGAAGCATCCCATAAAGACCCGTTTCAGCCAGCAGACCCAGTACGCCCAGTGTCGCCAGTTCGTCCAGTGAGTCCTGTTGGTGATCACCGTCACTCACATCTTCTAAAGCCGATACAACCACTGACCATTCCACGGATTGACATCCGCTCAGCAACCCCCTCTCAGCATTCCGCACGACGTAGTCAAGGTTAGTCATTCTCTTATCGCTGTCATAAATCATGAAATGTCTCATTTATCGATGAGTAAAATTTTTCTAAATATCCAGAACAATAGTGTGATTCATGCTCAGGGGCATATGGCACGATAATTTGCTAGTCAATCTAAAATGCTAGCAGGATGTTATATAATAGAAAAATAGCGAAAAAAACGAAGTGAAAGCGGTCAAAAATTCGCTGAAAGAAGCCTCCGTTCTTAATGACACAAAAAGCAATTTCTGGACGAATTCCCCGTTGGCATCTTGCCAATAACCGCTAAAGTAGAGGCCCCATTGTGCGAAACCTATAATGATACTCCGCCACGGCCTTCTGGAGGAGCGCCATCGAGAGATTCGGCCGCGCGAAAGTGAGTGGGTACCGGAGTTGAGCGAGATCGTTGATTTCTCCGCCACTGTAGACCACCCTGTTGAGCTCCGCCCGAACCGAGTAATTGAGGGGGTTTAGTTCAGGACCCCGCTTAAACACTCCATCTTTTCCGGTACTATTCTTCCATTCCAAGTAGGCGAAAGTTTTTCCAACGCCCTTCGATTAAATGTGTTGTCACCCAATCCTGTAGCAGTACAAAGTTTCCAAGAAGGTACGGGCGACGACATGAAGATGGGATATTCTCCTCGAGTTGCTCGATGTAGCCACCAGCGCACACCCTCAGTCTGGGGCCCACGAAGAAAATATCGGTTCATCCATTCCAGGCCGGTCCACACCATCAACCCGCGCCTTGGTGAATGGGGTGAAGATGATGTCCTGGACCGTAGCGACGTTGCCGGAGCTGCTCGATGTTTGAGGTCTTGCAGATCAAGAGTACTGGTCTCCAGGTAGCTATCCATGGGTGATTCCATTCAAGAAGTTCCGCAGCTGTTTGGAGGCCACGTGAATTCCAAAGGCGTTCTCCACTCAGGCCGCGACTGGAGATGACTTCATATTTTGGTGTACATGAAGGTGAATGGCGGCAGCCGGCTCCTGCTTATAGAGGAAGATCTTGGGTATCTTCCGCCCTGGTACTCATATCCACTTCCTCTGTCTGGGCTGCGAAAACTTCGCTCATATGTGACTCGGCCGGAATGACTTTTTTTTGCCCCCCCCCCCTGTAGAGTAGACTATCATTGTTACTGTATACTTTGAGAGGAATTCTGTACAATTTCGAATGATATGAAGATATTCAGGACCGACTACACCACGTTCCCACTATGCACCGTCGCCGTCTCACAGCGCAAACATTTCACCGAGAAGCGTCAGCTTCTCACCAATGAGCAATTCTAGCGGAAGTTCCAACAAAAGTAACCCGATGAAGAAGGTCAGTTCACAGTAAGCGCTTTCTATCTATTTGTAAGCACAGAAGAGCTGTCTCTTGGGCAAAATTCAGTTTCTATCTCCCAGCTGTTTGTGGTCCGATTAATTGAGAAGGTGTTCCAGCAGGCGCAAAACATTTTGTGTCAATTTCGAAACGATTTCAGATAATCAAGAAATCGCGTTGGGTTTCTGTACACGATGGTCGCCCTGTCAGCCCATATACCGAGGCCGTCACCTATGAGCCTGCATTCCCGGATAGGTACAGCAGGCAAGTTCTAAATCACAACTGAGCTCGACTAAGTGCGTTTAGCAAACTTGGAGCTAGTAGAGAAAGCAAAGTGCGAGGGATGTTTTGGCGAGCCTTACCTGCGGCTCAATACATAAGTTGCAAAGCGAAAAGAATTTTGTAAAGGAACGGTTCGCTATGACATACGAAAATGAAGAAGACTGTTATGGGACGTTAGCGTGGTCCGCAGTGAACAACCTTGTGCCAGTTTTACGGCCGAAAGTTGTAAGGTGTAGGAGTTATGCTGCAAAATTGCTCCAGTGGTACCTCCCTTTTTCCAGTGACCCGCCTCCAGACTCGCCTTCAGAGCCCGCCTTCTAGCCAAAGCGATGCTACCGGACAAGTAATATGAAATGGATGCTACACTGTCTAGTGGGATCACGGGATTCATTACAAGGAGTCAGCAAACTGAGGTCGCCCCAACAAACGGTCTGTGGCATTTCACCCGTCAATGGTTTGAGGCTGAAGGGGTCATATTAAAGGTGTTTCGACGTTCCTTGGCATTTTCTCCTCACGGACGAGTCACTCGGCAACTTCCCTTCCACATTTCACCGCCAACACCTACGCTCCTTATCGCGGACCGCGCCTCTAGGCAGGGCGAATTCTATTCCTATCTTAGTAGAAATATTTCTACCTATAATAAAATGCCACAAAGTGTAGGCGCAGGTGGCGTTGTAGCCCCTTAACCACGAGTGAGGTCCTGGGATCACATACCAGACCAGCCCCCGCAAGGCCAACCGAATCTTTTACCCCCGTAGACGGTGAATCAGTACCAGATTTGTTTGAGAAGATAAAAAAGGCACTGACTCGACTGGCCCAGCAAGTCACTGTGGAGGCCATATCGCTTTCAAAGTGTCACTGCAATTCTGAATGGAAGTAGAATGCGTACCGCATACCAAGAAGGGATTAGTCTACAGCGGAAGCCTTACCTTTATGCCTAAATTAAAATGATGTTTGATTACAATTTGCGATTACTTTCTTTCTACGAAATTTTTCCTACCATCTGGGATAGGGCTCACTAATGGAAAAGCAGTCCTATGAGAAGCTGTTCCGTAACTCTAATTTGTGAGCTTTGGACCTACACAATGACTTAAAGAGAAGTCATCGAAAATAAAAACTAACAGAACCCTACAAATTCATTATATAAAGATTATGCAACAATTTCACGCTCTGAGCAGAACATTCGATTCGTCATAACAATTACAAATTACTCATATTGCGCAACCGTCCGGTAAGCGGAAGATGCGGGTTCGAGTCCCGTCCGTGGTCCGACTTTTGCCCACAACTCAGCATTCTTGTGATAACTTTCGTATCGCGCACTGCGGCGCAGTTATCAAACTAAAACAGCTCTAAAACTTGTAAAAGCCTTCAGCCTTGCGGTTCACTGCCGATATCGGCTAACCGGCTCATCACGTTGAACGTGTGAGTGCTCGAAGGCAATGGCACAAATAGCCATTGAGCTGAGAGGGCAAGAGTGGCCCCGGTAGCGTAATGGGTAACGCAACCGCCCGGTAAGCGGGAAATGCAGGTTTGAGTCCCATTCCGGGCTCGACTTTTACCCATATCTCAGCATTCTTGTGATAATATTCATATTGCATAGCAAGGCGATGTGGCATGTGGGTGTTTTTGCACACATCCGTGGATCCCGGTCCTTGCGCTGCGTGAGGTGAGTACGCCCGTAGCTACAGTAGAATGCCCCTTTCTCGTGTCGAAGGTGCACAGGAAGAGCGCTGCAGGATAATACCCGTAAGCCTTTCTGGAATACACCTGCGTTGCCGCAAGGACAGACGAGCGCAAGAGGGTAGCCGAACGCGCTGCATGTCTACGCCATCTCACTTCTAGCTGTTCCCTACCACTGAGGCGTCGCGTTTCGCCGCGGGACATAGGTAGGGAGGCAAGTACTGCACATTGAGGATCGGTGTATGGACACCATTACGTGTGTCTACCCTTCAGCTCCGTTCTGGCGCAGTTTTGAGCGGGAAAGTGGCACGCTACCGGACCTGCGGACCCATTCACCTTGCACACAGCGAGGATCGTTCCATGAGTGTACAGTTCGCCTTAACTCATTCACTGCAGTTCAGCGCTATTCCTAGCCCCGAATCGCTTGGACGCAACCCCATTATTCAGCATAACGACACTACCAAATCTTGCAACAGCGTCCTATTTGTGGTTTGTAGCCAGACTGCGTGACTCATAAAGTGAAATGTGATGAGAGTTTATGAGATACGTTTATTTTACAGTGCATCAGCTCGTTCCGGCCGTTCTGCGATGTCATCAAATTCACTGTCGCCCAGCCCTCGACGTGAATCCAATGGATGTTCTTACATTGTTCAGAATCCACTCTATCGTGATTGATTCGATTTTCCTCCGCTTTTTTAAACACTCAATCTGACTTCTCTCTTTCAAAAGTTATATACAGTCATGTATATGCCTGTTCGGATATTTGCTGAACACCATGTAGATCACATTACAGCGGAGTATCCGATAATGAAATCTTGACAAGAAAAGGTGTTTTGTGCTAGAAATATTTTTCGCTTTGAAATTTGACCCGATGTGAGCCTAATGGTGTAATGGCGAGCGTCGCCGCTACCGGGAGGTCGTTCAGGACGTGGAGCGCTTTTTGAAAACGGTTTTTTGCATGATGTGGGGTCACGTGCATGGAGTACCAAACTGATGTTCATTTTTCCTGAACGCCTCTGGGAATACCAAAAAAGGAGTGAAAAAGAAGTCCATGGAAACCGACTGTTTTTGAGCCTCTGTGGGCTCTGAATCACTTGTAACTTTGACCAGTTGCTTGGAAGGTCCTAATGAAGATACTATTGGAATTGGGGAGAAAATTAGCATACAATAGCAGCGGATGGGGTCTTACTTGTGGCACGTGATTAAGAGTGAACGGCTCCTTGGAATGGTTTCTTCAACGATCGGAGCGGTGTTCAGCTACAACGATCGGATGGCCTAGTGGATAGCGTGGAGGATTCCCATAAGGTGGGTGTTGATGGTTCGACTCCTTTTAGTAGTTTTTGCATTTTTTGTTTCGCTGTTCTCGCTTCCATATATGTCTGTTTATGAATTTTACTCGGATATCTACCATTTATAGGCACATTCTAAATAGTTATACCCCATAGTCGGTGCTATTCAACAATTTCGATTTCACACACCATTAAGCAAGAACTTTTCTGAAAGTTGATCTTCATATGTTATTCAGTGCCCTGATCACGATTACTTCCAGCTGTAGTGCCATTTATCACCGATTTGGAGCCAAATCTTTCTCCCACTGGACTCGTTATGTACACTCATTTGAGGGACTTGCAGGGCCATTCTGACGCCAGATTGCGTCGACGCCAAGAATAAGTGTCAGAATCGTGATCAGGACCATCGATTATTCCTAAAGGCAAACTGGCCACGAAAATTTTTCTGACTTACTTGAGTTGCGATAGACTGGTCGGCAATGATGACCGGAGTCCCACACCTTCGGAGCGGCGATGACGTAACGATGACGTGGCGGGCCGCCGGGCAGCCGTATCGCGGATTCGGTGCTCATAAGGTCCTTTCATGCTTGGCATAGGACTGGGTGGCCGCAGAATACGTGGGAAACCATCCTGGACGTTTGTCGACCCCTGACTGCTCGCTCAACAAAGATATCGTCCTTCCCTACCGAGAGAAAAGACTCATTCAATTTCCTCCACTTTCTTCAAATGCAGCTCGAGCAATAATAATCTCCTTCTTCTTTTTTTCCATGACGGTTATCGTTGTTGGTAGTTTTATGTTTCTTTACCCCTGAATGGGGGTTTCGGTAACCAAAAAAGTCGCACTTGGAGAATGACTCAATACCCAAACCGAAGAAAAGTCAGAAAAATTTTCCTAGCCGGAAGTTCGCCCATAGGGGTAATCGATGGCTGATCCCTCGAATGAGTGTTCATAACGAGTCCAGTGAGAGAAAGGGTTGGCTCCAAATCGGTGATAAATGGCACTACAGCTGAAAGTAAGTGTTACAGTCGTGATCAGGGCACTGAATAACGAGAATAAAACATAATAAATAAATATAATAAGTAATAAATAATGAGTATGAGATCAACTTTCAGAAAAGCTCTTGCTCAATGATATGTGAAAATCGAAATTGTTGAATAGCACCGACTATGGGGTATAACTATTTAGAATGTGCCTATAAATGGTAGATATCCGAGTAAAATTCATAAACAGACATATATGGAAGCGAGAACAGCGAAACAAAAAATGCAAAAGCTCACCAAAAGGAGTCGAACCATCAATACTCGCAAGTCGCAGATCAGTGGGCGGTGCTGCGTGGCAACCGTTTCATACGGTACTACCTTAGCGTCTGTCACGAGTCCTTGGTCGCCATGCCTGATGAGTACAAAGTCTATTTGTGTCTTGGTACTCCCGCTGTAGAACGTGATGAGATGGGAGTCACGTTTACGAAACCTTGTGTTCAGAATGACGAGATTATGCGACTCTGCATACTCAAGGACTCGCTCACCATCGGCGTTCCGTGAACCGTAGCCGAATCCGCCATGACAAGCATAGCCGTCTTTTGCAGCGCCCACGTGTCCGTTTAATCGCCGGCTACAATGATACCGTCTTTTGGTGGCACTTCAGCCGTCTTCTCGTCCAGCAGAGCCCAGAACTCGTCCTTGGACTGCTCAGAGCATCCAGTTTGTGGGGCATATGCAGAGAAGAAGTGGTAAAGTCGTTGTTCAATAGCGACAACAATCTTCATTAAACGGTCGTCGAAACGATCTACGCTCACAATCGTATCGCGAAATCGCTGAGACACGATCACGGCCACACCACTTGTAGTTTTCGGCCCGCCACAAAGAACGGCTTTGAAGCCGCGGCCTAACTCTTTCGACTTGC